GTATTTACACAAATTTGAAAATAATGACATAAATGAAATTATTATATGTACAATAAAACATAATTTCAAAATTTTATCAGTATAAAAGCAAATAATTAGAATTGCTTATTTGGATATTTTCTATATCTTATATGGGTGGAATAATAAAGTTATATCAACTTCCCTATATAGCTACATGGATCTTTTTAAAACCATTGAAGAGGTATTACTGAAGAGATCCAGGTAGTAGCATGGAATGGTGTAGGATAGGAGCTAAGCTGAAACAAAAGTTTGGGTTTAGTATAATAATACCATAACATCATATTGGGGGTTGGAATGCCAAATTTAAGGACAGTTTTGCTGTCTTCTCCATTGATATACAGTACTTTATTATTTTTCTTACTAATCTTTTTTCATCTAAATGTACTAAGAGAGCAACCACCTTCCCACTTCTGGCTGCAAACAGTGAAAGGTGGTAAAGATGTATGATGCTGTAGGCTTGAGCATCTGCATCTGTTCCTTTTTTCTCTTTTTTTTTCTTCTTCTTTTTTAAACATGAGAGGCTGGCAAAATTGAGGATAAACCTGATAGACAGGGTATCCCAATGCAATTTAGGTCTTATTTCTGCCAATACCTCTAAAACCAAGACACTTAATAGCCCACCTTGTAGTTTGTGCCCCATTGTTGGATGTTTGCTTTGTGGCTGCTATTTTGATTTTTACTCCCCAGAAATTATATTTCATCTAAGGTTTGGATATGTTGTGTTTACACTATCCTTTCTTTTGATGTACATCTGTTGCAAAGAAATTGAGCTTATTTAAATAAATTAATAATATTAGATATATGTGTGTGTTTTTAAAAATTTGTTTTAATGTTAGTGATTTTATATTATTTGCTAACTCCCTACAAAAATTTCCTACCTTTATTTTTTCTTGTAATTCAAAAATAACAACTACATTTTTATGCCACCTTTTGTTACTCATAGTTCACTTTTGAATGCATCTAAAAACTGTAGGTAGAAAAAGAAAGTACACACATGATGATGTCAAGTTTGGGTGACCCTTCAAGTATGTATCACGAGGTTTTACAACTGCAGCTTTTCATTATGGTACCCATTTGTTGTTGTTTTCTTTCCTAGCTACTTTTTGAAAGGAAGTTGAGTTCCATGTTTTTTCTCAGTAATATATGCTTATTCAATTTATTACTAATGTAAGTAGTCTCAAATAAATAGTGCTGCATATAATTACTTTATTCAAAACTGATTCCCAAAAATAAAAGTTAGGTTTTGAATATGAAATCTTTACCCTGATGGTGACATCGCACATCTCACAAATTTTGGCAAGACTCTATCACTTTAAAATTTAGCATTACATCACTGTATATAACATTTTAAAATACAGTAAACAACACACTCAAAACTTACTGCTGACACACTCAGTAACTTACAGTACGTGTATGTAGGAATTTATATATATCTTGCAGGGAGCAAAATATGGAGATGTTGTTGGAACATTTATAAGAAAGCCTAGTTTTGATGACACATAAATTAATCAGTTAATAGAATGCTAGTAAGATAACTATAATCAACAAAATGAAGAACAAAAATTAAAATCGAAAATAATGCTTAGTTATGTATATTTGTATTTGGGGGAGGGGCACGTTAAAAGTTGATGTAATAACATTATAACTAGAGTAATTTTCAAAAGCTCTCATTCCACTTCAGTCTAAACATTCCATACTAACCTGATATCCATGTTCCATTAAATCTCCTAGGTAAGAAGGTTCCATCTAAAAGTTCCACTAAATTCAGCTTTTCATTCTTGATGTAAGAATTATCATTACCTAATTAACACCAAAAATAAAATTTGAATAAGATAATTTAGATTCATTCAACCCAAGAAGAAATTTAAAGAAGTTCATTGTAAATGTTCATTAAAGACTGTACAGAAATTGTAAAATAGGCTACCTTCTCTAATATCTTATATTTCAATAAAGATGACTCAATAAAATGCTTAATACACTAGCTTAAATTTTAAAACAGTTTACACCATTCAAGCTGGACCTTGGATATATCGTTAATTTTTTTTATACCACAGTCAGAAATTAACAAGTTTAGTATAATTAATCAGTATTCCTAGGAAAACTTGCTTGGGGCTTCTAGTTATTGTCTTTTGTTTGATTTACAGCTGGTGCTGCATGTCCGTAAACAACAATGCAAAGTTTTTAAATGTACAGTTTTATGTTCATTTTTTTCTATAAATGGTGGCTTGAATTATTGGCTAATAGTAATATTGTTTCTGAAAAAATGATATACTTGTGATAAACAAAGAAAAGTAACCCTTGTAATACGATAATACCACTAGTTAAAGCTAGCTGGAGCAACTACAGCTACAGATTGCTTTTAATCCCACAACATCTGCTGCAGCATCAGTATTTGCACCTAACAGTTCTGGCTTGCAACAGGATACAGACATTGCCACATACAGTGACTAAGTAGGCCACAGATGAAACAAGCGACTCTTTCTGTCATGCATTTGGAATCTTTAGGATCTCAAATCTTCCTGCATGGGCTGAAAAGTCATGGCAACTAGGCCTGAGAAGTTCTGTTGTCCCATCTGAAACAATAGCAGCTGCATGACACCTTATGGCATCTGCTGTAGTTAGCAGTCCTGCTCCAGTCAAGCCTTGGAAGCCATCTTGGATCCTAGAGGTTACAGCAGTTTTCATGTGTCTTTTAGCCAGATTTCCTATTGTGCAATATAAGCCTTAATGGAGTATTTATTTTTGCTCTTCTCAATGGAAAGAACACACACT